GGCTGTTTATAAACTCTCAATACCCTGCTTTGCTCTGGCATTTTCCCTCTTGCCCCAGGAATTCCATCCGTTCAGTTCAAACCATTTATTGAGTGGACCTTACAAATAAGGCCCCAGGTTAAGCACTGTGAAATTACCTCCTTTGTGTCCTTTCTGCATTCCCAGTCTAAGAACATCTCAGGTAGGTGACAGGAAGATTGAGTTATTTTATATTAATATGCAAAAACATACTGAATCATTTATTCAATAAATATATATTGCGCACCAACTGTAAACCAAATACTCTTACAAGCACTGAGATTGCAACGATCAAAGTTCCTGGCGTTCTCAGGTAAGTTATATTCTCGTGGAGGTATCAGTAAATAAACATATAATATGCCAGTAGAGGAAATAGAGTAATTTTAAAACAAAAAGCAAGCTTGGTGATGGAGGAGAGAGGAGTGTGCGTACAGGTGGGAAGAGCAGGGTTATTTAGAAAGGTCAGTCGGGAAAGGTGCCTCTGAGAACTGATCTGGTGGGGGAATGGGTGGGAAGAGGCTTGGATTTGGAGAGAAGTCTCTTTTTCGGTAGGATTTCCAGTTCCCTGAACTTATTATCAAAACGACATAATGTGGCGAAGACTTAGATGGGGTTTGGAGGTATAGGCCTCTCTAGCGTAGAGCCATAAGCCAGAGAGGGGTACCATATGGACCCTGCCCCCCGTCCCCGGTCTCCTGCCAGTCAGGGTCATCGTTCTGACCCCTTGCCTGGCTCGATCCTCACCACCCGCATTTCCCCACGCTGGTCACCAACTCTCTGTTTTCCTGTTTATCTCACTGGTAGGACTTCCAGCTTGGCTTTCTTCCCAGCTACCACGTAGACTCTGTCCTTGATGGTAATGTAGATTCTTGCATTACCTTGCCTTGGGCTATTCTGAGTAAATTTCCTTCCCTATCACTAGGAAGAACCTACTCCTTGCCCACCCTGTGGGTAACCATATACTTTATCATTTAAAGTGGGATACTTCTGAGAGCAGAAGGGAGCACTATTAATAATTACTCCAGGACTACAGACATAAACTGGGACCATCCTGTGTAAACTGAGTGGTGGGTCACTGTATGCATGAGGTCATTGGCTCAGTTAGCTCCAGCCCGCAAGTGGAACCAAGACTCCCCTCCCCAGCCTAGCATCTGATCTGAAGGCTGAGGCTGGGCTCCTTCCATGGTGCAGCCAGAAGTCAGAAGACAGGTCATCACTCTTCAGTCACTACCTTGTTTGCTCACCCTCAGGCCTGTTTTTCTAGTCTCCATCTAGGAGGACCCTCAGGTCGCACCCCAGAACATGCCTCCACTAGTTTCCATCCTTCTGGGACTGGACTGGAGACTTCTAGAACCCACTTTCTCTGCTTCCTCAGGCTGCTCCCCGGGACGAGATGTAGTCTTTTCTTCCATGTCCAAGTCTAAGAGAGCTGTCTCCAGACCCTTGCGTAGGCCCTACCAGGCTTTTGTGTTTGCCTCTCTGGAGCTCAGATGGAGTCAGGGGAGCTGGGCTTCCAGAGCCAGAGTCAGGCTGACCTCCCCTTCCAGCCCCTCAGGACACTAAAAATACCCAAAAATACTGTTCATTGCTTCTTTACATAGCTATAAGCAAAGAAGATGTGGTGTGTATATATATACAATGGAATGCTACTCAGCTGTAAAAAAGAATGAAATAATGCCCTTTGCAGCAACATAGATGGACCTAGAGGTTATTATACTAAGTGAAGTAAGTCAGAAAGAGACAAATACCATATGATATCATATATGGAATCTAAAATATGACACAAATGAACGTATCTACGAAAAAGACTCACAGATATAGAGAACAGACTTGTGGTTGCCAAGGGGGGAGGGGGAGGGGAGAGGGATGGATTGGGAGTTTGGGATTAGCTGATTCAAAGTGTTACATGTAGAATGGATAAACAACAAGTCCTACTATATAGAACAGGGAGCTACATTTAGTATCTTGTGATAAACCATAATGGAAAAGAATATGAAAGAGAATATGTATAACTGAATCACTTTGCTCTACAGCAGAAATTAACACAACATTGTAAATCAACTAAACTTCAATAAAATAAAAATTTTTTTAAAAGTTATATGCTCATAGCTTTAAAAGATTCAAGGGACATGGTAGACACCCATGGTTTTTTAAAGAAAATATTACAGATATTAAGATCAGGCCTCAAATTTTTGAAGTAACACTGAAAAATCCTTTATAATGAGACCCTACTGGGTTATTTTCACTATAATAATACTGACATCTTATTGGGTTCAAATGTATTTTGTAGTACAGGTCCACAATCTCTGATCTGAAATCCTAGAAAGCTCGGAAAACTGAGGGAGAAAAAAAAAGTTCCAAGTTTGTCACAAGTTTATTTGACAGTAAAACCTGGTTTGAATTGGCACGAGGAGTATAGTCTTTATCCCACTTAGTGTGAATGTTTGTGTTTTGCTATAGAAATGTTAATATGTTTGGTTACTTCTCCAAACTTCAGCGGTGGATATTATGTAATATATGGTATATGTCCTGTATTACCTGTTCGAAACACTTCTGATCCAGAAGGCTTCTGATTAGGCATTCTGGCTCTATAGTGCTGAAACCAAGCAAGGCCTCATGTACCCACAGTGCAGAAGGCCAAACTCTGACAGCCAAGAGTTTGCAGCAAAGTAAGGGTTTATTGTAAGGGGCCAAGGAAGAGTGTGGGAGACAAGCCTCAGATCCATTCCCACTTGGTCTTTGAGTTAGGGTTTTTTTTTTTTTTTTAAAGGGATGAACAAAGGCTGGGATTAATTATCTTGTGACACTTCTTAGTCATAGTTTCGGGAGTCAGGATGTTCTGGTTTATGAGGCTCAGACCAGGTGGTCCGTGGCTCAGGGGTCTGTTAGCTCATCTTGCCCTGGAGAAACAACCTGGGTTTGTATGTTAATGATGATATATATAATAGCAATTTTAGTGCATTAACGATGTTATGGACAACAGCAATTTTAGTCATCTGACTGTGGTGGATAAGTGTTCAGTTAGCACAGCATAGAGGTCAGAGGGGACAAGAAAGGGAATAAAGAATTGGATAGAGAGAGTAATCATAAGCCCAGTAAGGAAACTCAGTGTTAGGGGGGCTCAGTTTCAGTACTGTTTTACCCATCACATGTTTTTAAATTAATAATCTCCACAAATTAGGCAAGCACAAACTTCCAACAAGATTCCTTACAAGTTTGCCCCCTTTTGGATACTGCCCCTTGTATGGTCTATAGTTTGGGAACTATTCAGTATTATTTTCTAGTTGAACATTTAGTACCTTAATCCTTTGGAAGAAAAAAAACCATTGATATAATAAATAATTAATAAATAAATAAAAATAGTGGATAACATACTGAGTCCAGATCTTTCTTTCCCCACTGGTGTAGTATGGAAGGAAGAGGGACTGTCCATCATATGTGAAACAGAGTGGTCACGTGTGCAGCCCATTTTCGTTTTTTCTTTTTCTGCGGTATGCGGGCCTCTCACTGTCGTGGCCTCTCCCATTGCGGAGCACAGGCTCCGGATGCACAGGCTCCGGACGCGCAGGCTCAGTGGCCATGGCTCACGGGCCTAGCCGCTCCGTGGCTTGTGGGATCTTCCTGGACCGGGGCACGAACCTGTGTCCCCTGCATCGGCAGGCGGACTCTCAACCACTGCGCCACCAGGGAAGCCCTCGTTTTTATTTTTATAGGAGCTACACAGATGCCCTCCTGGAGCATAACAGAAGCCTCCACACACAATCTCACACCTTTTTCTAAATTTGAAAAAACTTAGGACCAGTAGTTTTGTGTCTTGGACTAGTTTACGAAAAGGTTTTTCTGTTCTTTTCTCTAGGAGCGTATTGTTCCTCAAGGCCAAAGGTGGGGGGATGGGGAGAGGAATGTATTAGGTATTTAGTCCTTTACTCTCTGACTTAACGTTTGTGGTAGCCAGGCTGCAAGCAACTCCCAGTGATTCTCACCTTCTGGTATTCAGTTCCCTGTGTAACCCCTTCCACATCATATACGGTTTGTGGCAAACAGTTCCAGATTTTCTTCATGCAAATACTGATATGTGTACCATTGTGTATACAAACACACACAGCTTTGTGATTTGTTAATACACGCTGGATCATATTAAACATACTGTCCTGCAACGTGTATATTCACTTTAACAACTTATCTGGGCACATCTTCCATATCTGTTCATATAAATCTATGTCATTTGTTCATGTGTCTCCATATATTTTATTGTATGGACTTCTCCAATCCCTGTTGGAGGATATTTGCGCTGTTTCCAATTTCCACAAATACAAACAGTGATAAAGTAGATAGCATGTGGGTAAATCTGTGGGATGTATTTCTGGTAGCAGTAATGCTGGATCAAAAGGAAACACACTTAAAATTCTGATAGATATTCCTAAATTGCCCTCCCCAAAAGTTGTTCTAATGTATTTGCCCAGGGAATGTAAATGTCTATTTCCTTACATCCTCAAAAACGCTGAGTATCCACAGTCTCTACCAGTTAGGTAGGTGAAAAATGACTCATTACTTTCTTTTGTGTTTAATTGTTAACAATCTTTTCAAATGTGTATTGGCTGTTTGTGTTTCTTCTGTTTGGAATTGTCTGTCCATCTCCTTTGCCCATCTTGATACTAGGTTACTTATACTGATTTGTAAGGACTCTTTGTATATAAGTATGTTAAGGTCTTTGCCTGAAACATATTTTATAGAAAATTTCCTCCAGCTTATTGTCAACACTGACTTTAACATTTTGAATCATATTCAGGAACTTTTTGTCATAACCCAGTGATGTGTGTTGTATAAAGCACGAAAAAGGCTTTATAACTTAGTTTAAAAATATTTCCAATGAAAATTAAAATTGAGAGAGCATTTCCTGTTTGTACAAATGTTAACTGTTTCTATGTTTAACTTCAGTATCACTGGCCCAGTTGATTTGCATTTTCACTATTTCCTTCTAGTTTACCGAATACTATATTCACCGCATTCCCAGAAGCCGGGAGGTCCAGCAGTCCTGGCTGTCCACGGTACTCACCACCTTATACTCTATGTGGCTCTCCTTCCCCCTGACTCACCGAGTGAAGCCAGATTTGGTACGTATGAGCATCGGAGGAGAGAGAAGGTCACTCTCCTGTGGATCCTTCATTAGTAACAGGACATATTGTTTTATTGAACAGCTACCATTCATCAGTGTGCCAGATACTATACCAGACCTTTTACTAATGTGTGCTAAAATTAATTTCAATGCACTTTGCTCAAAGAGGTGGGAAATTTGTCTTCCATTTCTAGCTATAACTTGAACTCTAAATTTGCCCTTTTCTCCCCTCTGTCTCATGGCAATAGGGACTAACCCAGCACTATCTTTAAGCAGTTTGTGCTGCTACCCACCTGTGGTTTCTAAGCCAACGTCATGTGCTTGCTTGTCAGCCAGAGAAGAGCCAGTTTTTTAAAATTCCTTTTCAGTACTCTTTTTATTTTGTCAAAACTCTGTTACCAATACTCTGTAGTGGCCTGTATGGGAAAAGAATCTAAAAAGAGTGGATATGTGTATTTGTATAACTGATACACTTTGCTATACACCTGAAACTAACACAACAACTAACACAACATTGTAAATCAGTTATACCCCAGTGAATTTTTTTTTTAAGTTAGCAATCTAGTACAAAAAAACAGAAACAAAAACAAAAAGCTCTGTTACCAGAAAATGATATGCAGTGGGCAGAATGTCATACACACTCAAGTTTTTATAGGAAAATAATACAGAAAATAGAAATGTGAAGGCTTTAGTGCACTGTATTAAACCTTACCTCCCTTATCTATAAAAGTCTTAAGTTCTCTGTGGTCTTTAGGATGAAGTTCTATTACTAAATGCTAAATGCACTTCAGTAGCCAATGCAGATCAGCAGATATGTTATTACAGTAGTGTACACAGTACTTAAATAATACTCTCATTCCTGTTTAAGGCAGAATCCATTAATCTGCATAGCCTTAAAGAAACCCTTTATTTGCTTTCCATATACATGAGTTCTGGCACAGTGGATGTTATTCTCATGAATAATTGAACAAAAATGCCTTTAGCTACCATGATTTTGAAAGATCTCTATCAGTTTGGTCATTGCCTTTCACCAGCTGGATTGCAGTTCAGGTCCCTCCCTTGGATGAGAATTTAAAAAGCTGAATTGTCTACATGAGTACTTTAGATTGTTTTTAAAAGCTATAATTTACAAACAGTGAAATGCATAGATCTTAAGTATATAGTTTGACCACATCTCTATCAAGATATAGAACATTTCCATCACCCCACCTGCCCCTTCCCAAGCAGCCACTTTCTGGTGATTTCTATCACCATAGATTAATTTTGCTTATATTTATTTTTAAATTTTTGACAGAATAAGTTTATCTCACAGTCTCCAACCACATTTTAAGAGTGTGGAACTCAGATGTTTTCCTAAAAGATCATTACTACTCTTAAAGATTTAATTATTTCTGAAACTTAAGAGACAAAATGGAAGGAAGAAAAAAGGTCTTCACATTTTAAGCTGGAAATTTGGGGTTTACATTTACTAAATCACTGGGGGCATGACCACTGTCAGTGGCAGCAGCCATGTTGAATGTGGTGACTTTAGGACTCTAAGGTGTGAAGGTGAGAAGGAAGTAGTGACATGATGGCTGATGTCTGCTGTGGACATGGAGGAGCTCTGGTGATGGCCCTCCCTAAGTATTTTGATACCCTTGTAGTAGGAAGAGTAACTGATGGGGCATTAGGACACTTGGTCCCAGGCTCACTTTGGCTTTTATTTTATTTTAGTTCCCTTCTGGGCATCATTCTCTACCTTAAAACAAAAGGATTGGACCAGATGTCCTCTCAGTTTCCTTCAAACTTAGTCTAAAATTTTATGAGTGCCATAAATTTGCCTATAAAGAGTGGAAGGGAAAAAAAGACTATTATGTTTCTAAAGGAATAAAAAGGGAAAAGGGGGGAAATGTGAAATACTTATTTCTGTTTTAAACTGAGTTTTCAAAATTATTTCAAACCTGAACATTATCCAGTCAGTTGCTTTGATGTGGCTGGCTTCACAAAATGAACTCCCACGTAATGAAATTCCCTTATACACACACACAAAGTTAATGGTTAAGAACAACATGCAGATCTCTCCTGTATTCATCCTTGGCTTTCTTTTTTTAAAATTGTAAATGGCACTAATTTCATTTTTCTTTTTGAATATTTTTGCCTTTTTTAAATTGAAGTATAGTTGATTTATAGTGTTGTGTTAGTTTCAGGTATACAGCAAAGTGATTCAGTTATACATATGTATATATTCTTTTTCAGATTCTTTTCCATTATAGGTTATTACAAGATATTGAATATCTTGTGCTATACAGTAGGACCTTGTTGTTCATCTGTTTTATATATAGTAGTTTGTATCTGTTAACCCCAAACTAATTTATCCTTCCCCCCCTCCCTTCCCCTTTGGTAACCATAAGATTGTTTTCTATGTCTGTGAGTCTGTTTCTATTTTGTAAATAAGTTCATTTGTATCATTTTTTTAGATTCCACAAATAAGTGATATCATATGGTATTTGTCTTTCTCTGTCTGACTTACTTCACTTAGTATGTGATAATCTCTAGTGCTGTTCATGATGCTGCAAATGGCATTATTTCATTCTTTTTTATGGCTGAGCAATATTCCGTTGTATATATATGCCACATCTTCTTTATCCATTCATCTGTTGATGGACACTTACATTGCTTCCATGTCTTGGCTATCATACGTAGCGCTGCTATGAACATTGGGGTGCATGTATCTTTTCAAATTAAAGTTTTCGTCTTTTCTATCCCCAGGAGTAGAATTGCTGGATCATATGGCAACTCTATTTTTAGTTTTTTAAGGAACCTCCATACTGTTTTCCCACCAACAGTGTAGGAGGGTTCCCTTTTCTCCACACTCTCCTCAGCATTTATTATTTGTAGGCTTTTTGATGATGGCCATTCTGACTAGTGTGAGTTTTGATTTGCATTTCTCTAGTAATTAGCCGTGTTGAGCATCTTTTCATGTACCTGTTGGCCATCTGTATGTCTTCCTTGGAGGATTGTCTCTATCTATATCTGCTCATTTTTTTTGACTGGGTTGTTTGGTTTTTTGTATATGAGCTGTGTGTATATTTTTGAAATTAAGCCCTTGTCGGTTGCATTGTTTGTGAATATTTTCTCCCTGTATGTAGATTGTCTTTTTGTTTTATTTATGGTTTCCTTTGCTGTGCAAAGGCTTCTAAGTTTGATTGGGTCCCACTTGTTTATTTTTGCTTTTATTTCTATTGCCTTGGGAGACTGACCTAAGAAAACATTGCTACAATTTATGTCAGAGAATGTTTTCCCTATGTTATTTTCTAGGAGCTTTATGGTATCATGTCTTATATTTAAGTCTTTAAGCCATTTTGAGTTTATTTTTGTGTATGGTATGAGGGTGTGTTCTAACTTCATTGATTTACCTGCAGCTGTCCAGCTTTCCCAATACCACTTGCTGTAGAGACTGTCTTTTATCCATTGTATGTTCTTGCCTCCTTTGTCAAAAATTAATTGACCATAGGTGCCTGCGTTTATTTCTGGGGGCTCTATTCTGTTCCATTGATCCATATGTCTGTTTTTGTGCATCCTTAGCTTTCTCAACAGTGAGAGGCCTGCGTACCGCAAAAAAAAAAAAAAGAATCAGTTAATAAATTACTTTTAAAATAAATTACATTAAGCATCACTCCCTCTAAATAAGAGTGTAAAATTTAAATAGATCCCAACAGATCAAATTAAGTATCTGCTTTAGTAGATTTAACAAAGCCTGATCTAATTGAATAATAATGACAGTATATATTTCAAAATTAAGTGTCATGTATATTTGTCAACATAGAATTTTTTTTTTTTTTTTTTTTGCGGTACGCGGGCCTCTCACTGTTGCAACCTCTCCCGTTGTGGAGCACAGGCTCCGGACGCGCAGGCTCAGCCGCCATGGCTCACGGGCCCAGCCGCTCCGCGGCATGTGGGATCTTCCTGGACCGGGGCACGAACCCATGTTCCCTGCATCGGCAGGCAGACTCTCAACCACTGTGCCACCAGGGAAGCCCAAAATAGAATATTTTTAAAATTCAAAATGGATAATTAAAATAAGAGGAACAGTATTAAAAAATATTATTACAGAATTTTGCAAATGAGATTGACTTAGAAAATTAATCAAATTCATATTTACCGGTTCCTGTTATAGAAAATCATATATAAAACCATTGTGAGTATACGTAATGTTTTATATCTTAATTTAACTTTTTGAATGAGATAGTAATCAAAAACATCAGGTTGTTTTGAGGAAAAAATGTGTAAATCTGCTTGTTGAGTGTATATTGAAAGTCATGCTTGTTTCATCCAAGCCAATTATTAGACAAAAAGCATCTTAGAGGAAAGTTATAAACTCTGTTTTGGAGGCCTGAATCTAATCCTTAGTAATTGGAGTGGATGGTTTCTTCTTCTACAAGGGCATTAAATACTTTTTAGGTGGTTCTGGTGTTTCACATATCATATTTTTCAAGAAATATGGCTTTGCCAGGCATCCTGTGAATAAGAGTCATAAGATTATTCTTGAGTTTAAAAAGATAATGGGACAGAACGTAGATCATTGGTTTTCAGCCTCCAGGGGTGGGGGAGGGACTGACTACAAAAAGACTTGAAAGAACTTTTTTGGGTGAGAAGCCGTTCTGTATCTTGATTGTAGTGGTGATGGTGGTGATGGTGGTCGATATTAATTGTATGCGTCTGTCGTAACTCAGACCTGTACACTAAAAAGGGTAAATTTTACTCTGTGTAACTTATATCTTAATAAATATAAGTTTTAAAATGTGAATCATGGCCAAAAGCATCAAAACCTTTGGTTCGCAGTAGCTTCATATATGGCATGTACCTATCTTTGAGTAAAAGTGATTTGGTGAGTCATTGCTTGCTCCTCTCGGCACCTCACCTCTCCAGTGTTTTTAAGACCTTCTCTAAGTGGCACAACCACCGGAATCGAGTTACAGCATTTGTCTAAAATTTCTAACATAAAATTCAGCACCTTTG